GGGTTTGTCCTCTTCCAAAATGTAGTGACTATCTATTCTATAAGGGTGCTGTACCCAGCAATCCTGGTTTGAGTGGCAAGGTTGGAAGTAGTTCAGTGCACATGAAATCAATAAGTGGAATTGAGGTGAAATGGTCAAGGAACTGCAGTTGATCAAATGGCAATTGATAGAATTTATTACCTGACTGTACAATTTGTCCATAAACAGATACAAACAAGGCAAAGTCTAGCCTTTGTTTAATAGTCCTTTGCCATGATTCCCACAAAGCCTGCTTTCCTTCTTCCATGGCCTCCCTGTCTCTGTGGGTTATCTGAAATTATGGGCTATCTAAGATTTATTTTCATGTGCCTATGTTTTTGAGGAGCTGCAGATTATCTGAGCTTTGTCCAAACATGGAAAAAAACACAGTAATTCTGTTTCACTGAATTCAAAGGACACAATTCACCCGGAAGTGGACCACTTTTTCTGTAGCCAATGCCATAGTATTTCTGTCCATAAAAAAAATAAAGGATTTTACAAGTGTAAATTAGATATATTTTGTTCTTTAGTTTAAAGTGGAAAGAGAACAATTAAAACCCCTTGTTAATTTTATGGGAAGTGGTCAAATTTCATGTAAAATTTCATATAGCAAAACAGTGAAATGCAGCTATCCCACAAATAACAAAATCTTTTTCTCATAGAATTGTCATCCTTTTTATGGGGTTTTTCTTTTGCCTCATGTCCTAAAGAAATTAGACTTCTCTTACTGCCTCTGTTTGCATTTGTGCCTGTTTGTCAGAATGCTTTGGTAACTTCAGACTCACTGAGTTTAAACCGGTTGGAGAGAAGGGTGGAGGACACAGACATCCTGAGCTCTCACCCAGGGAGCTGGTGGGAGGAAGAGATGAGGGGCAGGCAAGGAGCATCCAGCTGCCCTCCTTCTGCTCAGCCTTTGCAGTACCAGCACTTGGCAGCACCTGGGCTTGGCACACCCAGAGTACTGTGCCAGCCAGAGCTGCTCCCAATTTCTTGCCCACCTGGCAGGCACAGGGATGGGGCACAGTTGGCAGGAGGGCAACTATTGCAGGAGGTCACTGGAACTGGCACAGTGAGGAAGAGCAGATCCCGAGTGGATGAGGATGTGGGGAGAGAAGGTGCATGGAAATGTGGGTACACAGCCTTAGTTCAGACTCCATGAATTTTGCTCTTCAAGAAACAATTTGTGACTCCCTTTGTCTCTCAGGGATTCACAAGTGAAGGGAAAAGGAAGGCATGTGGGTTGTTATGTTTATTAAGTTTTTATTCCTTTTATTCCTATGGGGCTAACATATTATTAATACCACATCTCAAAAACTCTTATTACAGGGTAGGGCTGTAGGTGAGGCTATGTGTGAAAATCTCTGGGGCACCCCAACTTGTTCTGCCTGTTCCTCTTTCCACAGCAATTCCTTTCCAGATCTGAGGGTTTGGAACCACTGTAAATCTCGGCTTAGGCACCTTTTAAAAAACATGAAAAAAAGGGGAGCACATGTGAGCAAGTCTTCTTTTTCTGGTGTAATGTGAATAACCACCTTCACCATACAGGGCCTGCAGCATGCTACTGGTGTAAGAGACTGGGGGTGGGGAGCACAGTGTCACTGCAGAGAACATGCTAGCTCTCCAAAAGCAGAATTTGGCAACTTGTATTTTTTTTTTCCGAGAATATTTTTAAAAATAATTTTCATAAAAGCCTATCCTGTAGTGCTACATTTCAACAAAGTAAATTTCTTCTGTGCTTCTTTAAAGGAAAACTGCAGTAACATACCAGGTGTGCAATCTGGACCAGAAATTTTCAAAAGTCAAGAGCAAAGGACATTTAATCCTGACCAAGCAGATGAAACATTTGGTCTGAGAGCTGGAGAAAATTCAAGGTAATAATAACGTGCTCTGCATGTTGCAGTACATCTCCTCTAGCAGTTGGAGTCCAAAAAGGTCACATCAACCATGAGTGAAGAAAGAAAGGAAAACACTCAGCAAGGTGAATATTGCTCAGAGCATTATTTTTTCCATACCTTCTCCACAGCAGGGTCACAAGCAATTAAGGGTCCTCATAGTGGGAACACTTCCACTGACATACTTTACTCTCATCCACAATTTTTTTTCAAATTTCTTTGGAGATGTGGTGTGTTGTGATCCAACAAAACTAATTTTTATTTTCAAACTACCCTAGAAATTATTTTTTTTCAGTCAAAATGTTAAATGTTTTTCCCTTCCATGCTCTCATTTTCTGTGGGGGGACCTGATCAGCAGGTCACCTTCTATCTATAACTGTCCACTTCTCTCAGGTTACAGAAAAAAATACAGTCAAAGCCTCGATATTAATACTTACTCAATAAAGCCAGGGGTTATGAAAAAGGGATTGAAAAGTAAAAATGAGAACATGTGAGAAATGCCTTCCTGATCTTGAAGAAACAAAGCTGGCAACTTTCACATCAAAATATTTATTTTAATATTTCTGTGCTCCTAAATGCTCTTCTGATTTATTTTCTCTTTGCAATTCAAGATAAATATTCAAAATTTTTGAAAAGAAAAAGAGCTGCTGTGTTAGAAGAAGTGACAGTGGTAATGTCATACATCAAAATGTTGAGATGTCTCAGTCATACTCATCTGGGAATCAGAGTATTTTCCACTTAGCATCCAGTTAGAAGACCCCATGCACCACTGTACAGCTCTGCACTGGGGTACACTGAGTCCCAGGGGACCCCCCTGTTCCCCTGCACTCTCAGTCACAATGACTCTTCCAAAGGCATGGCACAGCCTTTGCACCTCTTCTGTATGTTCAGTTTTTATATCATGCCTGATGACATGCTGTCTGAGTTCTTCTTTGCCCATCTGAAATGCCATTTTATCTATGGGTATTGAATAGCACAATATTTCATATGCAGCTGACTGCATTTATTTGTGGCATGACTTAAATGGATGCTCCTGCAAGTCTACATAAAAATCACCTGTGTCTGTGAGCTGGAATTTGAAGGAAAGCAACAAAATGCACATTTCAGTATTATTTCTCACTCTTTGATGATCTACTTCAACATCAAATTCAATTTTCTATTTTCTTGTCAATAAAGAGAGAAGATTTCATTTTTATACTACTGCATTTGTATACTTCGGCATGGATAAAATAAGCATCACTTTTTAAACCAAGCAATTTTTAAATATTCTTTTAAGGAAATTTATATGTGCTTACCTATATACACATTTACAGTTTTAACCCACTCAAATACTTGTTTTCTGTCATGTGAATTTTCCAAAACAACCATTCATTTTTAATTTCGGCAGGACAGGACCATCTGCTGTGTCCTGCTGGTGTTCCAGGCTCTCTCCTCAGCCTCTGATAAAGCCCACACTCTTCACATTGGTGCCTTCCTTTGCAGTACCCCGACCCTGCTGCACCTGTCTCTCATTCCTCCTCATCCTCCTCTGACGCATGAGGAACCCCTCTGTGTACTTTCAAGACCACCAGCAAGGGTGGTCTGTGCCTGGCAGCCCCTCACTGAGGGCAGCAGGGATGCTGCAGATGAGGCTGCATGGAACACCCCAGATGGGTACAGCAGGAGAAAATCCTTCTTCCTTTCCATGGGGAGACAGAAAGGATTACCAAATAAATTGCATTTAAATCAGTTAAATCAGAAGAAACCCTGTCTGCAAAATTAATTGTGGGTAGTGCTAGTGGGTAAATAGTTTTATATTTTGAAATGTCCTGGGATTTTTAGATGTCTGCAGGAAACAGCTTAGCATGAGTGAAAGATGAAGAACTGAATTGTGGAATTGGGGTCCTAGCTTTGTGTCTTTTAGAAAAGGTGCTTTACATACCAATATGGCATTTGTAGACATTTAAAACCCTGTAGCAATACTGAACCCTGAAGCTGTGTTTCCTGACAGAAACTGAATGCCACTTGGAAAGGGTGAATGTATCAAAGGCTTCCCAAAGTGGCATCCCTGGATGGCCACAGCAGTCACACTTCATGGAGAAGTGTCTTGTCTGGTTCGTGGGAACATCATTACTTTGTTGCTGTCTTGGGAAGTTGTTGTCGTGTCCTTTTTATAGAATCATAGAATAACTCAAGTTGGAAGGAACCAATAAATATCGCCAACTCCATGTTTCTCACAGGATTACCTAAAACAAAACTGTACAACAAAGTGGCATCCAGATCCACGTTCCTTGAACTCTGTCAGGCTTGGAGGAATGACAAGTTCCTCAGGGAGAAGTGACTGACCAGCCTCTCAGTTAACACCCTTTTTCTAATGACCAACCTGAACTTCCCTTGATGCAGCTTCCTTCCATTTCTTTATGTCCTGTCACGGATCACAAGAGAGAGTTCAGCATCTGCCCCTTTGCTGACACTTGGAAGAAGTCATTGGTCCCACTCAGGTCACCCCTCAGCCTTCTCTTCTGCAAGACAAACCCAGCAACCACAGCCACTCCTCATTACATCTTGCCCTCAAGACCTTTCACCATTCTGGCTGCCCTTGTCTGGACACAGCCTCATAGCTTTATATCCTTTCTTACACTGTGCTGCCCAGAACTGCCCCCAGATCTCGAGGCGAGGCTGCCCAGCTCAGAGCAGAGCAGGACAATCCCCTCCCTTGCCCAGCTGGCCATGCTGTGCCTGATGCTCCCCAGAACACAGTTGGCCTTCCTGGCTTCCAGGGCACTGCTGACTCATATCCAACTTTTCACTGACCTGGATCCTTAGATCTGTTCCCATAGGCTGTTCTCCAGGCTGTCATCCTCTGATTTGTATGTATAAGCAGGATCACCTGTCCCAGATAAAGAATCTGTCACTTGCTGTCATCAAATTTTGTATGCTTGATGAGTGCCCAGCCCTCTAGTCTTACCCACATCTCTCTGCAGGGCCTCTTCACCTTGGAGGGAGACCACAGCTCCTCCTAGTTTAGTATCATTATCAAACTTACTTAATGTAAATTCATTTCCTGTGCTCAGATAATTTATAAAAACCTTACAGAGCTCTGGTCCTAAAATGGAGCCCTATGGAACCCCACAGGTGACTGGCTGACAGTCTGATGTAACCCCCTTTACTCTAACACTTCAAGCCTAACCTGTCAGTCAGCTGCTCACACAGTCTATTGTGGACTTTTCTAGCTGCATGCAGGATATTTTGTCCAGAAGGACACTGTGAGAGACAGTAAAACACCTTTGGATTTCTGATAGCATTCTTATAATTTTTTTTTCTGGCACTTTCAATGACATCAGGATAATGTGCCAGTGGCCCAGCTGAAAGAGAATGACAGGAAATTCAGCAGCTTTAACGGTTCACAACAATTTCTGTCTGCTTGCCAATGAAATAAACATCCTTAGATTATGGTGGCTGTGGAATTAAGATGCAGATGTGGTGCATAACAGCTCCTGCAAAGAGATGTATTACACAAATCATTAAAATCACTGAAAAGATTAAACGAGGCAAAGAAAACTGGGACTAACACTGACCTCAAACAATTTCTCTTCTTGTTTCTGCCTAATCAGATGATAAATTAATTAAACCGCTAGCTCAGGTGTTGCTCACGCTTTCTGAATTTTTGCCTGCTGCAGGGATTGTGTATGGGTGGAGATGGAGACCTGGGTCTGCTCAGCACAAAGAAGAGGAGTCTCACTGGTGTCTTCAACCACCTAACAGGAGGCTGTGCTTGAGCCTGTGGGCAGTGGGGAGGGCAGCAGGCACAAGCTGCGGCACTGGAAATGGACGCGGGAATTTCGCGCCTGGCCCGTGCAAACCAAGAAGAGAGGCTTGGACACAAAGGAGAGTGAAGGTTACAAGAGTTACAAAAAGTAATTATTTGATGTTACAAGACAAGTAACTTGTAACATAAAGTTACAAGAGTTATTCTTTTATTGAGGTGCCTGACATGTCTCATTCAAATTGGGGCACCACAAATGTGGCTTTACATGCCGTTTTGAAACCTTTCAAGCCTTCAGATACAACATGATTCAATTAATGCATACTTAACACACATACTACTGGAAAGCAACTGGAATTGTGTGGTGTCATCATTCATTTGCTTCTTTCATGATCTAGACATCCCTCATGCTGGTCTTAGAACCATAGAATTATTATGGTTAGACAAGACTTCTAAGATCATCAAGTAAAATAACTGACCCAGTACTGCCAGGTCCACCACTAAACCATGTCCTTAAGTACCACACTTGCACATTAGGTTGCCCAGAGGAGTTCTGGGCGCCCCATCCCTGCAAGTGTCTAAGGTCAGGTGGGGTAGGCCTCTGGGAAACCTAGTCTAGTGAAAGCTGTCCATGGTAGGGGTTTTGGCACTAGAGGATGTTTAAGATCTCTTCCAACCCACACCATTCCACAATTCTGTGATTTTTTGAACACATCCAGGGATGGTGATTCCACCGCTTCCCCAGACAGCCTCTTACAATGCCTGAAAATCCCTTCAGTGAAGAAACTTTGCCTAATACCAATCTAAACCTGCTCTGGTGCAACTTGAGTCTGTTTCCTCTTGTCCTATCTCTTACTACCTGGGGGAAGAGACTACATCTACCCCACTACAATCTCCTTTCTGTTAACTGTAAAGAGCAATAAATCCCACCCCCAGCCTCCCTTTCTCCGGGCTAAACACCCCGAGCTCCCTCAGCCTTTCCTCGTACGACTTGTGCTCCAAACCCTTCTCTGGACACGCTCCAGCACATCAGTGCTTCCCCCGATTGCCTGGGGTAGCATCACTCCGGAGCTACCAGCGGGGGCCACGCACGCCCTCCGCCTCCCGCGGGGCTTTCGGCTTTTGTCCCGCGGGGAGGCGGAGGGCGAGGTGCCCCGGCCGCGCCTCGCCTCGCCCCGCCCGCCGGGACCCCCCCTCCGCGTCCCGGCGCCGCAGCGGAGGCGGCGCCGCGCTGATGTCAGGGCGCGGGAGGCGGCGGGGGTGGCCTAGGCCGCGCTGCGGGCCGCCCTGCAGCTGCTGGCGGGAGTCGGCGCTGTGCGTGGGGGCGGCGGGGGCGCCGCGCAGCCTGCCCGCCGGCCTGGGCTCCCTGTGAGTGCGGGCAGCGCGGCCCGGGACGGGCAGGAGGGTGGCGAAGGGATGCGGGGCGGTCCCGCCTGACGGGCGGCATCTCTTTTTCCAGGAGCCTGGTCAACGGGACCTTCTCCGAAGTCAAGGACAGGATGTTTTCCCACCTGCCCTCCCTGCAGCTGCTGTAAGTATGGCACTGGGAAGGAGCACGGCCAAGTAGCACTTCACCCCTTCCTCCGAAATAGAGTCCCTTTAAGCATAGAGCTTCTCAGTTTCTCCTAAATTAGAGTTCCCTTTCTCTTGTAGAAAGGGAGAAAACTGGAGAAGACAGCTTGCACAGTCCCTCAGCGTAGCTGCTGTTTCATAATATTTTGCTCAGGGATGCATTTTCTGCTCAGAAACCGCTTCATAAAATGTGTATTTAGTTACTAAAGGAGGGAAAAATGTTTTATGATGCCCTAAGTTCCTCTTTCTTTTAACTTCAGCTTTAGTAAGTTTGAGTTTTGCCCCCCAGAGTTATGTAGTGGTGGCTCTCACTCCAGCTCTGTGCCCAGGAGTCTTGCCCTGGCTTTGTGACACAGTGGGCACAGTGGGGTGAGCAGAGGCTGCCAGAACACCCTTCAGAGGGAATCCTCTGTGTGTGAAGTGCTGGTGTTGTCTGCAGCACGGTGCCACTTGGAGGGTGGCCCCTCAGATGCCTTGTGACCCAGCGCTCCTCTGTCCCAGGAGACAGCGTTCTAGCTCCCAGCACTTAGCAGCCATCCCTCCTTCCTGACCCCAGGCAAGCTGCTTGGTCTGCCCATGTTGCAGTTAGGTGTGTGCCTCCTCTCCTGCTCCAGGAGCTTGATCAAACTTGCTTAATTTAGCTGTCCTGGGAGGCAGCAGGGAAGATACAGAGACTGCGGTACAACCCCCCTGGGGAGCCTGGATACTCACTCCTCTGGCAAGCTGCAGTGAGGCTGAGCAGCAGCCTGCATCCTGCCTAGCCCAGTGCAGCCTGTCCAGTACTCCTGATACCAGGCAGGCCCTCCACACCTCCACCCCAAAAGGACTGACTGACCCCCCGCCAGGCAAAGATGGACTGCAAAGAAAAATTCAGCAAAAAGATCCAAAGCCTGCCAGAAACCCAGACTGAATGCTTGCCACATAACTAGATGTTAAAACTGGTCTTAGCAAGAGGTATTCTCTAAAGGTGTCTGGTAGCTGATGGTGAGGCCCCTCCCCTTGGGCATCCCATCTCCTTTGACTCAAAGGCCTGTCTTCCTACTGGGAGGAACAGCACTCCATGCAAAATGCTGCGGGGAGGTGGGCAAAGCAAAGGGTGGAAGCCTTCACCTCCTTTAGTGTGAAACTGTTCCCAAAACCAAGTTTCTGTGAGAGCTGAGGGTCAGCACCGAGCTCCCAGCAGAGGACACGAGGACCTTGCCCACCAATGAATGGTGGCAAACACCACCTGTGCCAGCTGGGAAGGAAAGGGAGAAATCCATGGGTGAGAAGCTGTGGGTGGAAAATTAGAGCTGGGGGGAATCTAGCTTGGTTTGGGTGGTGCCACTAGGAAGAGGAAGGAAGAGCAGATAAAGACTGTCCCTTTTCTTTAGCTGCAGTAGATTTTGTGGAGATGGTGGGGCAGAGGTGGGTTGTTGAGGAAGGCAGAAGTTCCTCATGTCCCTTTATGTGGTAAGTCAGATATGGAAGCAAGAATTGGTCACCACCACCACCACCTTGGGCACTCACAAATTCTGTTGTTTAGTGCAATTTGTAACTTTTTCCTTAAAACATGAGAAAAAAAATTGTGATTATAAATAACAAAGAGCTAAAAAACAAATATAAAAAATAACAAAGAGCTGCATGCATAATTGAGCACATGGGCACCTCAGGACAATGTCTCCTGTGGCAGTAATCATGGTAAAATAGTAATGCAAGGATTTATTTTTGATGGTGGTCTTCATCTTTGTCAGATTTCTTTGGGATAATTTAAGGAGCATTTGTCTAGTATTAACATAATATCCAGGGATCACAGGGAAAGTTTGCATTTCATGTTCATTAGTCTTCTAAATTAATTTTAGTAAAATGCCTAAAACCATACAAAATGAAGATTAATCAGTTGCTCTAATAAAGCAATTAGTGCAGATATATTCATTCATAGGGCAAATTCTGAGATTTTCCAAAAAATATTTCTTCTGAGTAGTGTTAATATTTTAGACCAAACTAGAAGTTTTGCTATTTTCTTGAAAGGAGATTGCCCTCTTTGCCTTTGAACATCAAAGTCTGGAGATTGTCTGCTGTTGTGCGTTAATACATCAATGCATGAACTCTGCTGGCAAAGCCTCCAGAACCTCCTTCTCCCTGGCTGTCTTGTGCTGGCTCAGGTGACAGCCTCTCTGGTGCAGCTCTGACATCTTTCGTCCCTGAAGTTCACTCAGGAGTAGGGCAAGGCAGCGCCTGGAGGAGGCAGCACTGCAGCTCCTCCTCACCGCCTGTGGACACAGCGCTCTGCTTTATAAAGACAGCAGGATTCTCTGTCTCGGTGGTTTGGACATGTCTGTGTTTCCAGCTGACAAACTGGCTGCTATCCTCCCACGCTGCAGGCTGTACCCTGTCTGCAGGTCAGGCTTGGAGCATCCCCCTGGGAGCGTGGAATGAGTGAGCGCTGGCCCAGTGAGACTGCATAAATGGGAGCTGGTGCTTGGGAGCTCAGGGCTGGTGCTCAGGTGGAGACAGACTGCATAAATGAGAGCTGGTGCTTGGGAGCTCAGGGCTGGTGCTCAGGTGGATTCTTACAAGTTGTCAGTGGGGCTGGAGGGGTGGTGAGTGGATGGGGCCACACTCAGCAGACCTGCCATCTAATGATGGCTTGTTCTGCTCAGTGGACCATAGAGTTGAGGACCAGGTCACATTTAGCCAAGGTCAATGGCACATTTTTCCTGGGGAGTAGTGGGCATTAACTACCATCATGTAATGCCTTTTAATTTTTTTTCAATAGACCATTCCATAGTATTTTATGTGTGCTGCTTTGGTGGGGTGATATGAGCTCAAGTCAGTAAGATTAGTTTGGTCATGGGCAATAAACACAACAGGCATAATCCAGTGTGTCAAGTTTTAATGTGCTTTCCTAATGCCTGCTCTCCATTTTCAGCTTGCTGAACTCCAACTCCTTCACTGTTATACGAGATGATGCCTTTGCTGGTCTCTTCCATCTAGAATACCTGTAAGTTTGGTATTTTATGTCCTTTATAAATAAAGATGTTTTGATAAGTTGCCAAGATTCCTGCTGCAGAGTCTTGATCTTTACTGTTATTCCCAAGAGCAGGGGAGCTGAAGGATTTATGTTCCACTCCTGTGCACATACCCTTTATGGTGGCTGACGATTTTTCAGACGTTACAGTGCATTTTTAAAAGATGCCTTGAATACAAGGTATCTCTGTGCAATTACAGCACACCAAAAAGGCATTGCTTAGCAAGACCTTGCCTGGGCTTTCCAGAACAGTGCCACCCCTGTTAAGGGGATTTGAATCTCAGGCAAGAGGTGGAGCAGTCTGTTCTGACCTATGGGCAGCCTGAGCAGGAATTGCAGAATATTGGTGTACTGTCCCGAACAGCCCTGATTCTGCTTCTCTTCTCCCAGGTTTTGCCTCTTACTTTGCCTTTTTTCTGGTACCCTATTTAATGTCCATAGAATTTACTTTTATCTAATTAATTATAAATACATAAATATATAAACATACCTTCATGTAATATATATTATTGTAATTATTTATATTATTGTTTTAAAATATTTAACTGTCCTTTTTGTTTATATTATTCACTTAGTTGATTTTTCTGGTCTTTTTTTTTTTTTTTTTTGATTTTTAGTTCACCGTTTTTCTTTTAACAAAATTATTAGCTCCAATATATATTATTGTAATTATTTATATTATTATTTTAAAATATTTAACTGTCCTTTTTGTTTATATTATTCACTTAGTTGATTTTTCTGGTCTTTTTTTTTTGGTTTTTTTTTTTGATTTTTAGTTCACCATTTTTCTTTTAACAAAATTATTAGCTCTGGTACAAGGCTGTCCTCCCTTCACACTCCAAAGGACAGCATTTCTCTGTGTTACTCAGTATGAGCTGGTGTGCTTGAAAATATGAATGTGGCCTGAAAAAAATCCTCATTCCACCCACCTTTCCAAGCTGAAATGTAGCTGTGGAAAACATTTGTCCTTTTTACAGAAAGACCAATGCTTATAAAACTGACTCTTGCTGAAATCTTGAAGGCAAATAGATATTATGATGGGGTATATTAAGGGTTAATAGTCTGGCACATGTGGAGTAGCCAACAATGGAATTTGCAGCTAATGGTAAATGGTGTATGCTAAAATCCATGCTTCAGCTACATCTGGATTTTTCAGAGATAACAAGTTATCCAAGCATTCTCTTTTCTTTGTGTCTACAGGGAGAAATTATTTGCAGTGGTTTGTAAAAAGGAAAGAAAACATTTTGCGTTATACCATTAGCAGCCTGCTTTCAAGTGCTGATGGGCTTGTCCCAGCAGCATAGCATACATTGTGGTAGTTGTACTGGTCACTGCAGGCAGATCCCTGTCTGAATGAAACACCCTGCCCTCCTCAGGTGGCCAAAGGGCAAATCTCTGTCCCTGGCCACCAGCTGCAAGCCAGGGAGCAGGATGAAGACTGGTAAAGCCTTAGAGTTTCAAATTATTTTAGCAGCTGAGTAAGTGGTCTCAGTTAATGGTTGTGGTTGCCTTTTCTGCCAGTTCCATAGAGCTTTTCCTCTTCCCAGAAAATCACCCCTCCACCTTTTGGGAACTGGCTGTGGGTGGCCTTTCTCTGTGATTTGTTTCTTTGGCCATGCAGCCAGTAAAACCAATACAGCTTCCATAAGTCGTGTCTCTCAGTCACCAGGGACCAGACTTTGTAGAGAAGAAGGAAACCTCAATGACAAACAGGAATGACAAGTGTCTGTATGTACAAAGCCAAAGTCTCTGGCTGAAGAGTGGCTGGGGAGCACCCACAGCTGATACCTATGTATAGATAATATATATCCAACTGTGTTCTGCTGCACTTGCAGCACTCATAATGGCATTTAATGCACCCTTAAACTAACTCTGTGTGCAGAGTCTGGGTGAGACAGGTCTGATAAAGATGAGAGCTTTGCTGGTGAACAGACTAGAATTCCCAGAGTAGCATCTCTTGGAGACCAGGCTTGGTGATTCAAGAATCTGGCAAATTCCTGAGTCCCAGCTTGTAGCAGTGTAGCCTTGTTTATTTGCATGGACCACTGAGCTGGTGCTGTGCAGGGATGCCAGCTGCACTGAGGGTGTCAGGAGGCAGGGTGGCTCTCTGCTCTTGTGGATTGAATTTGTGGCTCCACACAGCCCTGAGAGGACTGACCTGCCTCTGACATCTCCCATGTAGACACAACACTTTCTCATCTGCACCCTTTGTTTGCAGTCAGGGTCCCAGGCACTTCATGAAGGATATTTCCTACATCTAAACTGCGGAACCAAGAGCATTTGTCATTTCCTGCATTCCCATTATCACTTTCTTGAGAAGAAACCTTGTATCATAGCATTTTTTCTCTAACTTCTCTGCAGGTCAAACAGAATAAGGGAGGTACTTTCATCTCATAAGCCTTTCATAAAGTCAGCATACCATTGTCTTCATCCAGGTATAGCTGTATCGTGCAATATCTTGATGGCCACCTGGCTCCAATCACTTTGCAGGGATCATGGTGTATTTGGGGATGTGTCCTCAAGTGCTCAGGGGTCAAGATGCTCAAATATCAGCTCTTTCTTGAAATGCTGACGTGCAGTCAGGAGGAGCAGCGTGCTGCTGGAGTCGATATGTGCCTGTCATTATTCCCCCAGTGCACAGGGCTGTGACTTGTGTGCAGCTGGCACCCTGCAGAGATGTCCCAGCTGGACAGAGCTGAACTGTGGCAGCCAGAACTGAACCAAGGCAGAGGTCTTGCCATTTGTGCAGATGTCAAATGTGTCAGTTCAAGTCAGGGTTGTGTGGGCACGGAGGTGGCACTGTGTGCGTGTGCAGCCACGGGAGCAGGACCCACCAGAGCAGCTCTGCAGCCTGGGCAGCCCTGGCACCTCTGTGCTGCCTGCTGGTTTCAAAATGCTGCTGAGTTGTGAGAGGGAAAGGTAGGACTTTATCTTCTAAAGTCTGCCTCCTACACAGGTCTCTTGCCTCACACAACACATCCTGAGAGGATTACCAAGAGAGAAATATTTTTTTTTGCCTTGTTCACTTTATTCCATTTCTGCTGGGCATTTGTGTCATGTGCTATCCATTGTGATGCCAGGTACATGAATTGTTCCTTGCAGTCTGCCCAAGGAAATGGGAAAAGGGAACATGAGCAACTCCACTGAGACTTCCCACTTCTCAGTCTGAAGAAGCTGCCCAGAAATATGCTGCATCTGGCAACCATAGCTTAAAGCACAGTGGTGCTAATAATAATGTTACTTAAAGTATTTTAAAATACTCTTTTTTTGGCCTAGATTTATTGAAGGAAACAAAATTGAAACCATTTCAAGAAATGCATTTCGTGGCCTTCGTGACCTGACTCACCTGTAAGTTATTTAACACTTAATAGAGTAATTTCTACTTGAACAAAATTCTCCTGGGAGACCACTGGTTTTCCTGCTACACAGAAAACGTCTCTTCCCTCTGTGTCAGCTTCCTACTGCTGTCAACAACATCCTTTCCATAAATTAAGAACCAGCCTTAGAGCAATTCTTGCCTGGGCAGCACTGCCACATGTTGGGCTGCCTGTGCACAGGCACAGCTGGGTCTGGGATGCCCCTGGTGCCCAGTGCTGCACTGGGACCACCACCAGCACCACACTGCCCGCTCATGATTAACATTCCTGCTTCTCTCCAGTGTGCTCAGCGATTGCTCTGTGGGTTACATTTGCACCTGGGGAAAAAAAAAAAAAAAAGCTTTAAATATTTTACTTTCATGTGAACTTCAAGCAATCTCCATTCTTGAATGAGAATAATTAATGCCTATTCCTGGTAACTTCTAACAGTGCCAGTGGCTGGACAGTACTGGATAATTAACAACCTGTAAGTGAGCTCAGACTTTGTAAGAATTGCAAGGTAAGAGATAGCAATGATACTAAGTTCTAACTTTCTTTTCTAGTTCGTTGGCAAATAACCACCTCAAAGCTTTGCCAAGGGATGTCTTCAGTGATTTAGATTCTTTAATTGAACTGTAAGTAATGAGAATCTTTCTACTGCTTCTGTCAGTCTTGCTCTTAGTTTTAGGTGCTGGGTGTGTGGTGCTGTATCTGGTATCTACACAGAAAAAAAAAATGTATTTTTTTGTTCTATTTGTTTTTCATTATACAATTATTTGCTTGATAGACTCTTCTAAAGTAACTACTACTTCTTAAATCACTGTTGCTTCTTATGATGCTGTACGTAGCTTGTGTTATTGTACTTCTTTCTGATGTCTTGTAAATTGTGTTTTAGAGAAAGGGAGACAATGAATTTTAAAATGACCGTTTCTCTGAACATATTTCCCTATTATTGTTGCATATTCCCCGAGATTATTTTAGTACAAGGGATTAGTTAAAAAAAAAAAAAAAAAAACACCTTCTTTTCCTTGTTTCTGTGCAGTTGTAGCAGTTTGCTGACATTCTGTCAGTATTTCCCTGTGTACCTAGGATTCCCCTATTTTTGGCCTGGCTCTTCCAAACAACAAAGTAAAATCATAAGCCACAGAAATTGCCAAAGGATCAAAGAACAAGTATAGTGCTGAAATTGTACATACATGAGCTGGAAGAAGCTAAATTGACTCTATATCAGCAGCAACTCAAAAAATACAAGTCTTACATCTGTATTTCACATCTGCAAGGCTGCTCTGTCAACCAGCAGTACTGGAACAGTTTAGTGAAGGAATGGGAATTCTCTGTGTCACTGGTAAATGGTGCAAAGGAGGCCTTCAGCAGACAACCTGAATGTCAGGATGTATTGCATTACAGTCCTCATCCTATGAAAACTTACCAAAAAAGTAACTTTACACATGAATCACAGTGCTCCATTACTATGATTATATATGACCATAGAATGCAACAGTTTTTCAAAAAACCCACTGAAAGAGAGCTCATGATAAAGAAGTGCAGATAAAACTTAAGAAACTTCCCCGTTTTCAGTTGAGAACAATTCAAGGATACTCAGATATTTTGAAATTCAGCATGCCAAGGTGATGACAGTTCTGTAGTACTCATATTGCTATCAACCTTTTCAAATATGTTTATTTCTGTGTGTTTTTTTAGAGATTTAAGGGGAAATAAATTTGAGTGTGACTGCAAAGCCAAGTGGTTGTTTTTGTGGTTAAAGATGACAAATTCCACTGTTTCTGATGTCCTGTGTATTGGTCCAGCAGAATATCAGGATAAGAAGTTAAATGATGTGACAAGTTTTGATTATGAATGCACCACTACAGGTATTCAGAATGTATATTTCTAAGCACACTACAAATGGTTAAATATCAGAAGTTTAGATTATACCCTTTCGCCTCTATGAGCATGACCTGGGGGGAGGAAAGGGTTACATACAAAGCACTTCCAAGTACTAGAACAAGTACAAAATGGGAAAATTACATTTAGATGCCAAAGTATGTACTGAGTTTTTATTTGGATTAAGTGATAATGGGAGAAGAGCTCTGCCTATTCATATTCCAAAAGACTTGATTATGACTCAATTTGTGGCTTAATTTTCATCACAGAATGCTTTTTATTATCTGGAATAAAGCCACATAGTTATAGCAGATGAGCTTCCCAAAATCTCTGTATTTCACAGAAAGCAATGAAAATAAGTTCAAAAATGTGGCTATAGCTGTTATCTTTATTTGATAAATCATGATTTATTAGCATCAAAGATGGTGGCAATAGTGCCAGAAGTTCTTCAGGGAACCCCATTAAGTTGATGAGAAAAGTCCAATAATATTCTGACTACTGTCTTGCCTAGGATCTTGATTTTTTTTATTTTTTAAGGTAATGTAAAGCATGCTGAAGGGAGTGAAGAGAAATTTGCATGTGGTTATGCTTATATTTTATGCCAAAACTGCTGCAGTTACCTATCTTTAAATGTAGTCACATCATATAACTGAAAATATCAGCTGCGGGTATTGTTTTTCATCTTCTTTGAATAGGATGTCAGGGCTCTGCCTTTTTTCTAGACAGTAATATCAAAGGTGTGCAAGTTCTCATCTGTCATCAAGTCAGTCATTATTATTAAAAGACAAGAAAAAAGGTGATTACTAGTAATGTAAAATGAAATTTCAGGAAAAGGTATGAAAGGTGCTTTGATGGCAAAATGTGAAGGAAAAGAGAACGAACTCAGAATTCAAAATTATGTCACAAGAGCAGCAGAGGTAATACAATAACCTGCTGCATAAAAGAATGTCAAACACAGGAGAGCAATGAAGTTTAGAACAGCACCAAAGTTACGTTCCTGCATCTGCCAAATCACCGAGACGCAGCAATGCAAAATAAAAGCAGGCTTTATTTCATTGCAGTCTGGTTTAAGCCATTGTGTAGCACTAACAGTGCACAAGAGAAAGCCTCACCTGGTCCACAAACCTATCGTGATCTACCAGCCCTCTGTCACTTTTTTGTACCTAGACGCTGTAAAGTTGCTCCAGGCAAAATTCACCCTTAACATTGTCCCTCTGTCTGCTGTAAGTGAAATTACACCAAGCATCAATCTAACTCCACATGCTGCAGAGTTTTAGGGAACCAAAGGTGTTCCATGAGGCAAGGACAGCCCAGCTGAATATTTGTTCAAATGCCCTCAGAGAAGCTCCACAGCACTGCATGGTGCTGTCACATTCTGCTCTGTATGACCTTGGTGGTCTGTGGTGTCAGACCACTGCTGTTTTCTCCTTCTCTGCTATGGCCTCCCCCAGATCCAAAGGGAGTGTAAATACGCCCATATTCCTTCCTTGAGGATAGATTAGTCACAGGCTTAGAATACACACTGTAGGTGTATTCTCCCTTCCCAGTCAGTGGTGGATAGGGCTCTGCAGAACTCTTTCATTCATGTTAGTCTTCAGTATAGTATTTCTGTCCTTTGCCAGCTGGGATCAGACTTTCCATCATTTCTGGTCTCCAGTACTCTGTGTAGAGCACGACTGGATGCAGGATGTAGCAACAAAGCAGTTTGCTTGGTAAAATGTGTGTCTTGTTGGCCCAGTCAGATCATTGCATCAGCTGAACTGCTACAATGGTAACAGGAGAGATGGAAAGAGGTGCTGCCAAATTTAAAATCAAATGGCAAAGAACAAAATGGTCCTGTTGTTTCTTCACAGAGAAAGCGATTGACAGTATTGGTGACCTGCATTTTAACTCTTTTTGTGATAGCATCTGTCTTTTCCATTTCTCAGTGCTTACATCATGGAAGCAGGTTAAGCCATTTCACTTCATTTCTTGTCTTTCTTCCTCAACAGTGTGTGAGGGGGCTGTCCTGTGGCTGTGAGCACCACAGGGAACATGTGACTCACTTTCAGGAGACTGGAAAACAGGCCTCGGGCTCCTACAGCCACTGGAAAGAGGCCATGTGCATGCCTGGGACCAGCTTTGCCCAGACCTGCAAGAAGGGATCATCTCACTGAGCTTTGGAAGCTTGTTTCCCCCTTTCTTTACCTAGCTGGGATTGTCTTCTGGAGGTGGTCTTCTCTTTCCCTGCTGTCTGGAAGGGAGGTAGTTTGCATATTAATAGCTACTGCTCCATTCTTGCTCCTGTGCTGGAGATCTCCTGTGGTGGGAGAAGGGAAAGGATGGTTAACACTCCCTGCTGGCACACCCAGGTCCTGGATAGTCCTCTGCAAGGAGGAAGGGATGTGAGGAGAGTGGGACTGAATGGCAGGATACAGCTTTGGAGCAGCTGCCCAAACAGAGTATCATTTAAGTTTTTACTTAGTGTCCTGTAATGTTCCCTGCACTCTCCTGTGCTGGCATCAGTGCTCCTGTGTGCAGGGATCAGCCTGAGCAAGGGCTGCCAGAACGAAAATCACCCCAATAAAAGTGTTGGGCCCCTCACCTGTGACACCATGATGCCAGCTCAACCACAGAGGGAGCAGAAGTGGAATAAGTGGCTGGAGGACAGGGGGACAGCCCCACTATAAGCCAGCAGAAAACAGCATGAAAACCATGTGTCTTGAGACAGGGAGAGCAAAACTGTGTATTGGGGGGTAGGGAGAGAGGGACAGCTGATGCAGCCAGCAGCACAGGGAGAAAGTGTGGGCTGTGTCCTCTGCCCTCTGCCATCCAGGGGATCCAGCTTAAAAGAGAAAGATATTGGAAAAGGGCTCCTCCCCCAGTCCTGTATTTACTGTATTAGAATTTTTTGCAACCCTGATGTGGCAGCAACTTTCACTGTGTAACCCTCTTCTACATTACAGTCTGGTATTCCCAGCTGGTGCTAAAACCAATGTTTATTGCTTTTTACTGATTACAAATGATTTCCCTACCCATTTTCACATACAGACTGGTTTGTTTCAATTCACAGATTCCCCCAAAGAGTTTCACAGCTGTTCAGATTCCAAGAGATGTCTTTTCAGGATTAGTTTTCTGGGGTTTTTTCCCCTCAAGATTTAAAAAATATTTTTATTTTGTGTGACTGTATCTGCTCTTACTCCATCCTTTTACAAGTGGTCAGTTACTTTTACTTTTTGCATACTTCAGTGTCAGTTTTCCCCAGCCCTTTTAGTTTCCCAGTGAATGAAGATAACTTTCTTGTTTGCCTACCAGCATTTATGAACCAAGCCCAAGCTCTGTATAATAGCCCTCGAAGAATGAAGACTGTCATTTCTTTCACAGCTGTGGAATCTGCTCTGTTTGTTTAATGGTAGTCATCTATCTTTATTCTCCACAAGTGTAACTCCTCAAGGGCAAGGCTTTCAAGCATGCAGAAACAGAGGGTTCTTCATTCAGAAGCAATTATTTCATAATGCACCAAAATAAGGGACTCGAGTGAGGACTTAATTACCATTTCACCAAAATCCCTGGATGCTCAGGCCCTTCCAACATAGCAATGCATGGTGAAGGCTTGTAGCAAATGGAGCTAAAAACAGTGCAGAGCAGAGCAGTGGTTCTGCACAGAAATGCCATCATGGGGAAGTTGCCTTTCCTTTTCTATGTGTCTATATCCATACACGACTTCAATGCAAGCCTCTGACCACACTTTAGACCTGAGTGCTTTGTCAGCTCTGCTACACCATTTCCCCCCGCCCTGATAATAGAGATCTTGCACAGCTGTGTGGTCAAATGTCAAATTCAGACCCAAATCTCCTCACTTTGCCCCAGACTGGCTCTGTGGTGACTGCTGACATACTCCAGCGTGAATTTTCAATTAAGTCTACAAAGGCAGGTTGCTCCAATTTTTCAGTCTTATTGTCTAGTATAAGTTTTCCACTGGATAGTAATTTTCAGGTTGGTTGTATTTTATGCCTAAACTACATTATAATGCCCCATAAAACATTATGTTAACTGAGTTTTTGATTACACCATTTTGTCTATGGTCTAGGCTAAATGGGGTTATCCCCAGGCAAACTTCAGATATCATTTCACTTTCTGCCTGGTTTAGCATAACACAAATTGCTAGTGATTAAATTTGCATGACTTAAGAAGTTATTGGACTTCAGCTGGTAGTTGCTGTCTCTCAGCTTGAATGTGATTCTAGCAAGGCCATTTCACTTGACGGGAAAGCAACTTCCAGCTGTGGGGAAAGAGACTTCTAAATTTCACTGATAGTAGCCAGCCTGGCTGGAAAATCTGAATTATTTCACTCTTTACATATTTGAGCTCCTTGACAAATACATTTTCAGAGGACAGTTCATGATACCTAAAGCAGGAGACACTTTCTCTGTTGGTGCATGCCTAGCATGAGTACTGATGCTTCATGATAGTGTTATACAAAATGCAGAGTATTTAACTCATTTTCCAGTGTACATCGTTCTAATCAGTGACCACTTACTCTGTGTTTCCAGCAAGGATGCATCCTAACTGTCATAAATGTATGTTTCTAGATTTTGTTGTCCACCAGATTTTGCCCTACCACTCTGTTTCAGTGGATACATTCAACTCAAAGAATGATGTGTTTGTAGCTATTGCACAGCCCAGCATGGAGAACTGCATGGTGCTGGAGTGGGATCACATTGAAATGAATTTCAGGAGTTACGACAATATCACAGGTATATCAACACTGAGATTCCAGCCACTGATGAAGTGGATAAGATTTGTAGATGGGATCAGTTTATTGAGTTTTGTCCTGAATCTCTGTTGAATTTGGCTGATTGAAGTGAGTGATGTTTGGACATGAATGACTCCATGGAGTAGTGCATCTTGTTAATACATGCACATTTAACCTTACAAACTAGGCTTTTTTTTGTCCAATATTGTAAACTTTTCTGAAGGCATAAACACTTGCTATAAATGTCATACCTTGGCCCAGCTTAGCATTCACTGCCTCAATCACACAGCAAGTTAAAGCAGAAGCTGAAGGAGCACTTGATCTTGCCAAAGTGCCTACAAAACAAAATATAAAAACAATCTATTGCATGTTGAAGGAAACAGGTCTGAAGGATGCTTGTAGGGTGAGCTGACCAGGAAGACAGCTGAAAATATTTAAACTGTGATTGTTACCTAAAGAGATGTGCTGTAAATCTTCAGCATTTACTTTCAATTTACAAATATGCTCAATTAACTTCTTGGTCAGATTACTGACCAAACAAACAGCCTGTGTGGATGCCAGGTGGTGTTCTAATGCTGAGTTTCTCACAGCCGTTCTGACCCTAACCAACACTTGTGGTGCTCAGTCACACCATGACAGCAGAGTCTTCAAAGCTGTTTTCTGCTGCCTGTTTTCCCAGATACTCCAAGCCAGAGGTTTTGAATACTCAGGAGCTAAATTATCAAAGGAGCATCTTTTCCTCCTGTCCTTGTTGTGTGTGATAGATTATTTTTTACCTATATTTTGGGAGACATAGAGTATGCTGTGTCCTTCTCTGGTGTGGAATTCTACAAAGGCAGCAAGCACTTGCCTCTCAGATCAGCTGTGTGTGTCACTAACAAAATCTTACAAGAAGCTACCCCTCTGTCACGAAATTTTTGAAACAAAACCTGTTGCTTTTTTAGGTTTCATTGTGTTTTGGTAGATTAGGGTAAAAAATGTGCCAGGGATGTAAACTGAGAAGTCAACAGCTCAGAGAGAGCTAAGTGAGCCCTAGAAAATCTCTGGAAACTAAGTTGAGAGTTTGACTCATTTGCAAAGATAGCAAACACTAGATACACACTTCCAGGTGTATTTAATCTTCCTTTGAATGATTTGATTAGGAGACATTTCTGCAAAGGATTTTTGTCCTAGCTCCACACCCAGAGCTTGCTCCTGGAAGGTCTGAGCTCTGGACTCTGAAATGTACATGAGCCTGATTTTTGCCAGGGGACACAGGAACATAAAGAGCCTCCTGCAGAGACTGAAGAGTGTTTTGTAGAGCTCTGGAGCCAGCTCCACAGAGAATTTCACTACTTACCATATGCTTGGCATTTGGATATCTAAATTTAGCACTTTTTACAATGTGGGGTTTTGGAGCTGAGCTAGTTGTCAAGATTGCCTTTAGAGTGAACGTTAAGAGAAAAGCATTGCTGTCCTCTGCAGAAGGAGACAGGTGAAAGCTCTTCTAGAGTTTGTGTTTTGACTAAGTTAGATCAGAAGGAGCCTGGATGATCAGCTTGACCATTCATGCCTGTGCTGCAGATCCCTTGCTGTACTTGAGGTGAAGGTACACCCAGCTCTCCTACACTGCGAGGGTGGCAGGTCATCCCAGGCCAGCTCTGAAAGCCACAGGTAGGGGACCAGCAGAAGAGCCAGGGTAAATCTCCTGTAGCGGCTGACCAAGGATGCACTGGGGAGCTTGGGCAGCTGTAGTTCTACTTAAACTGTGTGCTTCACAGAGGAATTCCTCTCTGCTTCCAACAACACCTATTGTAATAGTCTCATTGTTACGTTTTTGATGGGGTTCTTTTTAGTGCAACTTGACATTCTCAAGACAGACCATAACCTGATCTGATCTATCTGGCAACTGCAATATTGCTAAATATTTCTAGTTTAACAAAATCTCAAGAATACCTAGCACAAACTACAGAGTGAGATTTATCTTTTTCATCCTGCTGTCAGGGGATATATCCACAAGGTGCATAAATATTTCTATGTACAGTAGCAAAAAGCTGACTCTAACCCTTCTGGAGCAAGAAAAATATATTTCATTCTTCTAGTTAAGACAGAAAGATTACAAGAATAAGAGAATTTCAGATATCTGATGAATGACAAGATAAAAACTCTTGTCATTTTTAATTAATAAAATTTAGCTTAAATAATTGTTTTGGATACCAGGGACCATGTGCTTGAACAAACAGAGAAATAAAAAGTATTTTGCAAAACAAGGAATTAGGATTTTATGGTACATCATACTTGCACACATTGCAGGGTGGGACAAGTCATCTCTCCAGTTATTGGGAAGCAAAAAGCTTGAGAAGATGCTCTGATGGCATGTAGCAGAAAACAAAATTATGAGATGGTGCAGGTGTAAAAAAAGGGGAGGGGTGATTTGGTAATAATGTCTGTGGTGTAAAGTGTGGCTTGTGCTGTGCTAATACATGTGTTGTTTTGTTTTCTTTCTTTGGGCAATAGGTCAGTCTATAGTGGGATGTAAAGCCGTTCTTGTTGGTGACCAAGTCTTTGTGGTGGTGGCACAGCTCTTTGGTGGCTCACACATTTACAAGTTTGATGAAAGCTGGACGAAGTTTGTCAAATTCCAGGATATTGAAGAATCTCGCATTTCCAAGCCAAACGATATAGAGCTTTTTGAGATAGACAGTGAAATGTTTTTTGTCATAGCAGATAGCTCTAAAGCAGGTTTGTCAACAGTGTATAAGTGGAATAACAAAGGATTTTATTCGTATCAGTCTCTTCACGAGTGGTTCAGGGACACTGATGCTGAGTTTCTCGATATAGATGGGAAATCATATTTAATCCTCTCTAGCCGTTCCCAGGTACCCATTATACTCCAGTGGAACAAAGCCTCCAAAAAGTTTGTCCCACACGGTGAAATCCCCAACATGGAAGATGTCTTGGCTGTGAAGAGTTTCAGGATACAAGATGACCTTTACATCACACTCACAAGATTCATTGGTGACTCCAGAGTTATGAAATGGAATAGCAAACAGTTTGTGGAGATACAGGCTCTTCCATCCCGAGGAGCCATGACGCTGCAGCCTTTCTCCTTCAAGAACAATTATTACCTAGCCTTGGGAAGTGACTATACCTTCTCCCAGATTTACCAGTGGGATGGTGAAAAGAAGATATTCAGATTATTTAAAGAAATCTATGTGCAAGCACCACGGTCTTTCACAGCTGTGTCAACAGATCGAAGAGATTTTTTCTTTGCCTCTAGTTTTAAAGGAAACACTCAAATATTTGAACATATCATCATTGACTTGAGTTTATGAAAAGATGCTAGAGTGAAATTTATGTAGAATGACATTTATAAACAAACAAAACAAAAAGAGACCTTTCCAAAAACAGGGTGCACCTATGGAGTATGATGACATTTTCTGAACTTTTCAAACTTGCATATTAATCAGGGACTGCATTTACTTGGTTACTGCATGACATGTCCATTTTATCCTCTTTCAAAGACACTTTGCAATCTTCAGTCATTCAAAGAGGAATGCAGTGCATTAGAATTAATGTTGACATCTAAGAAAATGATCTAAATTTAATCCAGGAAACTACCTTGAGTTGAACATCTCATAAAGAAAACAAAAAGTGAGCCATACAAAGCATAAAAATGATCTTGACTCCTAAAGTAACATTTTAGTAGTGTAGTTTTAATATTAGAGCCTGTTCTTCGTGGTTGCTGATGAATTGTAAAAGCAAGCAGGAATATTCTAGAATACACTGAGTTCTCTCTTCAAAATCTTTCTTTCTGGTTCACAGTAAATCCAAGACATCATTATAATTCTTTGCAGACTGAAGGGAGAGTCAAAATCTATTGCCGTTTTTCTACCATTATTCACTTTTTTCAGCAATAAATTGTGCATAACAAGTAGCCCAGCCCACAGTAAACAGGCAGCTAGGAATAGTGTGTCTCTTGAGGACCATGAGATCTTAACAAGTTATTACAGATAGAAAATGTCAGAGGTCTGCATAATGCCATGAACAAATCAACTACAAGTCACACCCACTCTCTGTTTTAATAGGTATTTCAGAAATCCATTCCATTTTGCCCTAATTCATATTTTTCCTGATTTCCAGTAGATTCTGAGTGTTTAACATATTACTCCAGAAGGCAGGGCTTAAGCTTTGCCTGAAACACATACTGACATTGATGCACCCCATGTTGTAGCTCCTCTGGGCTCAGTGAGGTGATTTATTGCCTAGCATTTCCCACACAGCACAGCTCATTAGCAGTAAATTCAGGTTTGGGACATCAAAGTTGTATTTATGAAATCCTCCTTCTGGCTAAAGTCTAACTGTGACTTCAGTATCACCAAGTCATCTGAAACCAAGCTGTTGCAGCTGTTTCAGACTGGAGCTAATCCTGCCTCCAAGAAAGATTTCCACTGGTGAGTCCAGGCTTGCCAATCCATTGAAGGCTAAAGAGGAGCATGTGGGCAGACTGTGCTTCATTGGTGTTTTGGGTGGTTACAGACCAAGCCATTCAGCCATCCTAATGACTCAGGGCATTCCTGCCACACAGAGCCTCTCTCAAGAAAACAGCAGGGGACTGTTTTCCGGGAAAGGGTCTTTGCCCCTCTTACCCAAAAAAATTGTGTATCAGAGCTCTTTTTTGCTCACTTACACAGGATATTTCTTTACATTTCCATACCACTTAGTCTACTAGGTTGTTTTGTCATGTCTTGCTGTTGCATTGCTGCCTTGGATAATATGGAGGTCTTGCATAAAGCAGGAGGAGCAAAGGAAACGATCCTTTATTCCATCATACTTAGGCCTATCTCACCATCCTTCTGCTGAGCGAGTTTGACATTTTATTCCTGGACATGGCCTATGATCATAAAGAGAGATGTTCTCATAGGCTTTCCAATATCCAGGGTGTGAAGTGTGCTGCAGAAGAAGATTATGTATAAGAGCTCCCATGAGGGGTCATAACCTACCAGTGACCTGGCATGTCACAGTCTTCTCCAACTTTTGCCACTCTGCTATGAAATGAAGTTATTACTGGCCTGTCAGAGACATAACTCATCCTGATTTTCAGTTATGTGTTAGGGGTTTTTTTTCCTACAGAGTTGTTCAACCTGGTTTTGTTTTTAGCTACGCTGGCAACCTGGCCCATCCTACCCTCTGAGATACTGAGTGCTGCCCTCTGAATCCCAATGGGGTCTCAGTCCCAGTGGTTCAATCAAGACCAATAGATGCAAACCAACACTCTGCAATAGGGTTTAGCAATACCTTTCCTAGGATTAAGCTAACAAATCTGACAAAACAAAGATACTCGTGTCTGCCAGTGAATGCAATTTCTTCCTATGTTTCCAGTTTACTTTTTAAAGTGGATATAGCTGGCAAGCAACGTTTATTTAGCCTATGTTGTGGGAAAGCATTTTATATTGCTTTTCTGTTAAGCATGCAAGTTTCACTAGAGTTAGATATTCTGATGAGAGTGGCATTTCTCAGTGCACCAGCACTTTATTTTAGGGCTCAACTGTGAGTTCTAGTGACTCAGGAAGGGGCATCAGTCAGTGTGAAAAGCTAGTTTAGAGAAATAGGATCCTTGAAGGGAAGCAAGAGGATGCTGGAAAAAGGCTTGTGTATTGAATACCGGGAGATTGTACTGTTTCAAGAGCCAAGGGGATTTTGAGACTTGGCTATCAAGTTGGATTAAATTAAAATGGTAAGCAGAGACAGGCTTAATAAAGAGGATAAGGTGATCCACAGGAGTCTAGCTCATTCACATGGGACCAGAAGAAGAGAGTGAGGGAAATTAATTCTGCGGGCAGACTGCTGCTTCTGTAGGGTAGCTGTGTTGGTTGGTCAGAAAGCCCAGCTCAGCATCTCTCCCAGCCTCAGGAACAACCTGGAGCCAGACACTGGCCTGCCTGTTCTGCTGAGCTCATGCACAGGAGGTCAAAGCAGCTAAGAGCGAGGACAAAAAGCACCAGTTGAATTAAGAAAAGGTTATGGTACCTTTCACAGGATTAAACAAAGGCAAGACCTCGAAAAGAGCCTTGTTCTGCTCTTCCTGCTCCCAAGGAAAAGCTGCAGGATTCAGGCATAAAACAGAAATTGTTAATCATTGAAAATCCTTTCTGCCTTTCCAAATGCAACCATGGTTTTCTCCATTGCCTATATTCTGTAATAGAAATTGTTTTGAATAGTAAATAAAATATGCATATTCATAATTCGTTAAAATGTTAGACCATCAGGACAGTGAAAAAGGATAACAGAACATGCCACTGATAATTTTTAATGTATTCTAAAATACATAAATTATGTAAAGTTCATTAGTTTATATAAGCATTGATTTAATATGCACTAGCTATAGCAGGAGCATTTTAAGGTTGTATATACATTGAGCTTTTTTTAGTAAAGAGGAGCTGATGCAATCTATGCTACTGACATGTGTATGTACTCTTTCAATATATGAATAAAATGCAGTTAATGTGACTAATAGTGGTGTGTCACACATGTTAAAATATCCACATTGCGAAGATCCACACTGCCAGAGGAATTGACAGAGTGGGCAAACGGGTCCCTGTCTATTTATGATCGTGTTTGGCTTTCGACAAGGTGGAGAAAGCCATGCTCAGATTAGTTAATCTTTCTTCTGTGCCTGAGATAGTTCGGATTTCCAAGGTTTTGCTGTTCTCTGATTTTCCCCTTCACTCTTTCCTTACACCCCATCTAGTGTTAGCAAGTAAGTAACGCAGCTATTGCTATGAGTTTTGTTCATGAGCTGCTCTTTCTTTCCACAAAGTAAAGAGATCTTGATTTTCAAAATAATTTTTAAAAAAATACTTAAGTGGATTTCTTACATGCTGAGTAAATAGGAACCAAGTCCTAAAATTACTTCCAAGATTTTCAGATCTATGCTCTGGGCAAAACAAAATCTTAAGATTTGTTAAATTCTACTGAATCATTGACATTTACTCTGAAATTGAAAAAAAAGTAAATCTATCAGCAGTGAATACACTTTATTTAAAGCAATCCTTGAGTGTTGTCCATTGATCCTGCTAGTCACTAAGACAGAGGATAATTATTTTGTTTCCTCTTAGTTCTTCAGAAATAGCACAACTCTCTGTAACTAATTATAGCCTTGTGCAATCAAAGACATGTCTGACATACCATAATGGGATGCAATTGCTGGGATCATTGCTTTCGTTTTGGGTATTCCACCTTTTTATGAGTCAGCAGCCCTTGTGGTGTGGTTCACTGAAACTCCATCACAGCTCAAACATCAGTAGCAAATCAGCACTATCTACCTTCCCCTGCTTTCTTTGCCCTTGCTAGGTGAACATTTTTTCCCATCCATTACCACATTCTTCAAATCTTCCTTGGAAAGTATCTATTACTCCTTGAAAGTCATAGCAAGATACCAAGAGAAAAGCATTCCTAAAAAGTAATGCAGGATGGACACTCCTGCAAATTTCTAGGGGAAGACAGAGCAGGGTGTTTTTGAAAGGTCAAGCTAAAGGCAGATGTGCAAGAACAGCTGTAAGAGTCCCACTCGTCCCCTCAGTCCCACTCTCTCTTGGCCCACAGAGATGAGCTGCTACCACTGCTCCCTCTTGGCAGCAGGAATTACTGAGATTTCTTTTTCACTCCCTATCTCAGTAGCAATGGAGCTGAGCTGTTATAACACTGGTTGGGTTTCTTTTTTTACTTCCTAGCAAACCAGGCACTTGATAACTCTTGCATTCCACATATAGTCAGCCTTCTTTATGAGAAACTGCAGGCTTGATGATCTAACTGACTTCAAAACTGACCTTTGGAATCAACAAAGCCAGCTAGCCACATGATGTTAGATCCCCCGCAAAACAAGAGACTGATACTGTGAAAGTTCAAATAGCTACCACAAAAACCTAATCTATCCCACACTACCTATTCCCCCACAAGCCATTGCCATTCTTGCCCCAGAATCATGTGATGAGGAGTCCAACACACCCATCATTAGCAGGGACATCTTCAACTACACCAAGTTGCTCAGAGCCCTGTCCAACCTGACCTTGAATATTTCCAAGGATGGGGCATCCATCACATCTCCAGGCAACCTGTTCCAGTGTTACACCACCCTTATCTTAAAAAAATTCTTCCATCTACTCTGAATTTATGCTCTTTTAGTTTAAGACCATTACCCCTTGTCCTGTTGCTACAGGCCCTACCAAAAACTGTTCCCATCTTTCTTATAGGCCTCCTTTAAGTACTGAAAGGACACAATGAGGTTTCCCCAGAGCCTTCTCTTCTCCAGCAACACCAACCCTCTCATTGTCTTCATAGGAGACATGCTCCAGCCCTCTGACCATTTTGTAGCCCTCCTTTGGATTTGCTCCAATAGGTCAATGTCCTTCCCTTGCTGGGAACCATATAGCTGGTGGGGTCTCACTGGAGCAGAGTGGAGGTGGAGAATCACCTCGCTCAGCCTGCTGGCCACATTACTTTGGTGCAGCCCACGATGAAGCTTTCTAGGCTTCAAGCACACACTATTGGCTCTTGTCCAGCTTTTCAACCTCCAGTGATCCCAAGTCCTTCTCTGTAGGGCTGGTCTCAATCCCTTCATCCCCCCACCTGTATTGATTCTGGGGGTTGCCATGACCCAGGTACAGCACCTT